TACGATTTATTATATATATACATTTAAATAGCGCACTCGCTTAAAGAAAAGATGCATTAATTTTTGCAGACAAAATTCCGAAAGATCACATTTCTAAAAAACTAGAAAATCTACGATTGAATGCACGGTCTCATGTTCCGTGGATGAGCTCTTATTAAAAATTCGTTTGAACTCGCGGAAGAAGTAATCGATAACCGCGACGAATCGTATGGCGTTTCCGGTCAGCTCGCTTCAACCCTTCTCGGCTCGCAGCGGCCGCAGTCGTTCATCACAGGCCACTAATCCCCGGGCTGAATTCGATCGTTTAACGCACGCGGGACGCGACCTAATGATATCGCCACTGCCCGATAAATTAATCTTCCGGTGAACAGTCGATTATCATCGGCTCCTTCGGGGATTTCGCGGCCGCACACGGGGGAAGATAAATCCCTCCTGCGTCTTTCGATCCGTGTTCCTCGGTCGGGATTGATTAATTAACGCGCCGGGACGACAATGGGGAGTGCGTGGGTCTGGACTGACTGATGAACGACAGTACGTGGACGCGTCCCACCCGGATTGCACCATGCAAAAAAACAAAAAAAAAGGAAATCTCGATTCAGTGGACAAAAATAAAGTTCCCGGTGTTGTCGAAAAAATGAAATAGCTCGCTCGGCTGGAAGAAATGCCAGGCAGAACGATTTTTCTTCCAGCATTCGTTTGCGCATTGTATTATTTTAAAAGATATTAATAAGTGCGACTGATTTTCGATCATTGTATTAAATGTGAAACAATATTTTTTACTTGATAAATTTATCGACAACGGACCGTAGTGTTTTCAGTGTTACCATGCTGTGTTAAAAATTCCTGCTATTTTTATCTCACATTGCCAAGAAATTCTTACGACTTCCCTAAAAATGATAATCCTTAAAAATTCGGTCTTCGCAGTCGCGTTTGCAAAATAAGCCTGGTCAGAGCAGGATCCTTTAAAATGAACACGTTCCGTGGCACGCACGAAATCTCGAAGCGGACATACCCGCCACGCAGAATCGCCACCCTCTTCGCGCTGTCGCGCGCAACCGATTCGAGGCCTCGTTTTATTTCCTTCGCTTCGTAACCCTCTTGATTAACGAGCCTTTTAGCGACGCCCGGTGTCGGCAAAGTGGCCGACACCGTCGATCCACGATTGATCGATGGGAATTTTAATAACCGGCCGGCGATCGGAAGTCCGAAGGAGTCGGCGATGGTAATGACGGAAATATCATTTCGGCGGATAAGTTCGCAGTGAAATAGATCGGTCGATGACCGGCAACCGAGGGACAAAAAAATATGTACGAAAAAAAGGGGAGAAATATTCGATGAAACGATAGCAGGCTGCCCCTGGGATATTTGTATCGCGAGCGTTTATACGAAAATACTGCTACTGCTTCGGGATCATTTTATTTTCGGTTCCGGACCACGAGTTTGGTTTTCGAAACTCCGTAATTCCGCGCTTCGCGTGCGACCGGCCGACGAATATTCAACCCTCGGGAAAATAAAATTCGTGTTTTTATATGTATATATATCTCTCTCTCTCCGTCTCTTATATATATATATTTTTTTTTCGCGTATCTATACGTGTGCGCAGCATTCGGCGTGAAATGGAACTCGAAATTGGAATTATTCGCGATTCAGAGCGGGTAATGAGCACGCCGCGGATTTTGCGCGTTCACGGTGAAACGCGATCGAATGCGACGGACACACGAATGTGCAATGAAGACTTTCATCTACGTCGACTCCTATTGTTCCTGCATAATCGTTGTTTTCGCTGAATCGCGTGGGAGAGTCGCGAAAAGAAACGGATCGTGCACAAGAAAATCCGCAGACTCGCAGACTGCGGTCCAAGAAAAGAAGATTATCTTTCTCTTATATGTAACAGTATCGACTTTATACTGTGATGTTTACAGAAATGGTAACTACGAATTTTCTTGCTCGCTGGATATTTCGCGGATTGGATCGGATTGCTATCGAAAAGCAGAACTCGCATTTCTAACTGCGACAGAAAGAGTTTCGGAATTCAGATATTTATTCCGACTTCGAAAACTTTTATATCCACGATCCGAATTTAAATCTTCGGCGATCTGTGTATAAAATGCTGAAAGTTCCTTCTTCGAACAATATACGTTAGGTAAATTCGGAACGAATGATGTTGAATGAGTAGAATTGAGAAGGGAACAATGCGATATTAGTATCTATCATGTTGCCTAACAACATCGAGTATACACTTCATAAAAAATCGTTGTAACAATCTAATACATTATGCAATGATATAAAAAATATTTTATTAACTCGCGAATAAGTCTGCATACTTGAAGCGAAATCCTCAGTAAAATGATTCAGCAGGTTCGTTTTGAGAAAAATTACACTTTCTGGAGTTCGACCGATCTTTCTGCTAATTGTTTAACAGCTTGCTGTACTTCGATTTGTCTGATTCACGACAAAATTTAACAATAACCTGCAAAATATATATGAATGTTATTCTTTTCTTCCAAGTTTGAATAACATTCACTATTTTCAATAAATAACAATTTTATTCGCGTTGCTTATTAAACGTTCTATTTATCAGGTTTCACAACTCTTTCTATAATCTCCTTCCGAATCGTCACCAAACTACATCAACCAGATTCGACATTTTTCGCTCAGGTGCGCACAATTCTTCTGGTCACCGCCAAAAGGATTACCGAGTCACGTATCAACATATCTGGGTCTACATTGTCACGAAAGCAGTCGGACACGCTGGCAGCAAAAATCGTGTCCCTGGAATCATGCATACCGGTTCCGCGTGGGCGTCGGTGGCCGCACGCAAATCGCGCGTCCTCAAAGAAAGCAATCCGAGCGGTCCACGTCGCGGCAACACGACAATTTCCGAAACCGCAAGGTTGCCCCATCTGGGGCGGATCGGGCAGCTTCCGGTACCCTCTTCAGAGGAATCATCGCGGCGTTCTGCTCCGCGGCCGGCTCTTTTCAGTCGCGCGCAGTTCCTCCACTTTGCGAGCCAACAGGAACCGACCAGCATTTGTCCGACCGTCCATTCATCCGTCCGTTCCACGTTGCAAAGGCAGTTGAAGTGAGGAGAGAAAGAGAGGAGCCCTGGAGAGCGAGCGGGTTGGAAAGAAGGAGAGAGAGAGCGACAGAGAGAGAGAGAGAGAGAGAGAGAGACAGAGAGAGACAGACAGAAAGAGAGAGGGAGAGAGAAAGAGAGAGAGAGGTGGGATCGCGCTGGATCCGCGAGAGGGAAATGGAAGAGAGTCAAACGGTGAGCGAGAGAGGAACAAAGTGAAAGAGACGGAGAAAGGGAAACCCGGGAGCTCTATCGACCGACTTCTCTCATCCAGTGTCCCAGCTACGGAGCCGTAGGTTGTAGTTGCAGCTGAAATCTCCTCCTCCAACCACCGCCACCCTCTCTCGCCCTCTCTCCCTTTCTCTCTCTCTCTCTCTATCTATCCATCTATCTCTTTCTCCCGGCCTCTCTCTCTCTCTGTCTCACCCCCAGTGTCACGCTCGCTCTCCTTCTCCCTGCACCGATCCTGTACACTGTACACGATCCTCTCGCTTTCTCCCTGGCCATGGCGAACTCTTGACATTTCGCCGTGGTGCTGCGCCAGTTCCATGTCCCGGCGAGAGCCCAGATGTCCTCCGATGCTTGTTAATGCGCGCTGATTGCCAACGATATCTTTTCACGGCTAGCCCCGGCGATAAAGCAGCGAACACAACGGCAAGGGACGAAAAAGGGCGCGCGGGGCGGCCGAAGGAAAACGATCACGGCGTACGCGGGGGCGAAACTGATAGCGATCGGGACGCGGGGGCGGGTGTGCGCGTGCAGCCAGGGATGAAAGGACGGTTAATTGAGGCGCGAGGGGCTGCGACGAGAGGGGCGCGCCGAAAGTAAAATTCGTAGTTAATCACGCCGGCAAGGAAGCGGCGGGAAACTGTGAAAAATTTTCTTCCAGGAGTACATTACTCTTTTATGGACACCATGCTGCAGAGTTTTATTATGCCAGGCGGCCGGAGGGGAATTAGCCACCCGAGTGCTTCGGTAATACAGGGAAGGGAGACTGAGTGATTGTTCGGCTGGAGACCGTGTTTATTGAATTATACTTCTTAGCCTCTTTCTGTCCGATTTGCCCTTTATTTTCTGGCCGAATGGAGACGCGTTTGTTGTACGTGCGCGGTTACCTATTTCTTTTTTTTTATTACGCTATTGAACCCCCGAAGGGACTGTTAGCGATATACACGGGTGCACGTAAGATACGGATAAAAAAGAAATTTGCGCGATCGCAGTTGCAGAAACATGCACTTGCAAGTGTATAGTCTTTGGTGTGTATGCCTGTGCTCAAAGATCCACCGAGTGTTTCTCGATAAATTTGCACGTTATTCTCATAGAAACGGTGTAACGCCCGGCTTCGCCTGAAAGGTATCCATCGAATAAGGCGAATAAAAGTGCAGTTTCTTTCACGATTCTTCCTTTCAGGAGGACGTTAATAAAGGCATTCGTCCACTTGACGACGGGTTAGGAAGAAAGGAAACGGAGTGCAGAAATGTGAGTATTGAGAAAGGTTTCTGGTGTGGCTTTATTCTGGCTAGTCTGCAAAATTAATTCCTCGTCCTACTTTGAGGAATCTGGCCCGGGATGGAGATTTCTTTCAACAAGTCAAATCTCAGGAAACAATAGTGCATTAAAAAGAGGACCAGCATGCCATCCGTGTATGCTCGTGGCGAGGAAAATGGCACGGCGAGATGTTAATGGACGATGTCTATTTAAACATTGGTTGTACCAGGAGTTCGTTTCGTTCTCGACTCTAATTTCCATAGCGAGAAATTAGAATAATTGCCTTTAATCTTTATTGCACCTGTATGTGTCGTCAGATGCAAGCGGTGGCGTTAAACACAGAGCAAGTGTCGCTGTTAAAATATTGTATCAAAAGGACGGTTTTATTTTATAAAATTAACAATTTTATTACTAATATTTACTTATCCACTTAACATTAATATATACTATATACATAATAAACGAAAAACGCAGGGAAAATCAAATGCTTATAAAAGATAAAAATGCAAATTGCTGCTTTAAAGTGGTATTTAGAAAAGCAAGGAACGGTACATAATGACATTTTGTACGTCGAACACCAACATTGTGAATTATTCATATAATTATTCATATTTTTTATTTGCTCGTTTTATTCCGGCCTGGCCTCAAAATATTCTAAACATTTTGAAATTTAATGGTCACTACTCTTTACACATGACGAGTAAATGATTAACGACGTCATTATTAACGATAGAATAATTATGATAGAATAACTTTTAATCGTTGAAACTGTGAAGATAATGGTGCGGCAAGGATTTAAATGGACACTTTTCGATTCTAAAGTTGTCTATTTTTTAACCGTTTTACAATGAAGCATCTGCAGACGCGATCTCTACCAAAAGGCTGCTTTCTCTCACAAAAGAACTTCCTTCGCCTATTTCGCGAAGAATTACGTTTCTGCTTAAACAATGTCAACCCCGACGAATTCGAAGTTACTCTCGCGGCCGATTAACCGCGTCACCCGAGGGTGCCAGCCAAATGAATCACATGCGCCGAAAATAAATTTCCTCTCGTGGACTCCGTCCACGTCCCATCTGGCAAACCTTCCTCCGACTCAAAGGTACTCGAAAGAGCTTCCTCGAATCCACCCCACGGCCACTATTTTCCCGTATCGCTCGATCTTTACGCATAAGGGTCCACGGAGCACGCACGTGCGTCGGCCAGCTCCGAAGGACGCGGCGAAAGAAAGGAAGAAATTGATGGCGGGGCGGCCAGGAAAAAAAGAAATTGCCGGCAGCTGACGGAGCACGGGGGTCACCGGAAAAGTTGCATGAAGGTATAGGTCACCTTCGCCCGATGAGGCTCTATGCGGCGTTGATTGCTTCTCTCCTCTCGAGCGATCGTGCGAGCCGCGTGATTGGCGCTGCCAGCGTCGTTCGGCCGACCCTGCGACGGGGGCGAGTCGGCCGGAAACGGACAGAAAAAGCAGAAATAAGCCTGAATATTCGGCGGCGGGCTCGCACGCACGTGGCCGGGCCTTGTCCTTCGGAAATGAAAGCGTTCCGGGGCGATGGGGCCGCGACCGTGACGGACACGCGGACGCGGAACTCGTTCCCGACGCGCCCCTGCACGGAAAAACAAAACACACGGAATTGCTGGCCGGTCCCTCCAATGACCTCCAACCTCCTTACCTTCGTTTCGGTCTGATTATGGCCGGTCGAAGGTCGTGATCGATCGTGATGCGAAGCGAGAGCGAGACCAAGCGATGGGGGATGAGGAGAGTTTGAAAGTGTGTCGACGGTGATGCTTGTACACTCGGTATATTGGGTCGGCCGACGTTATTGTCGAAGAAATTGAAATCCAAGTTCGCTATGCGAGTTTGCTTTTTTGTTAACGTCCGATTCGCGAGCTGGATTTTGTGACAGAGTACACTTTCGTTGGTGACGCAAAGAAGAAGCGTTCTATGGGTGGATCGATCTGTAATTGCATTGGCAGTGATTCAAGATGTATAATATGAGTCAAGGAAATTTTATATTTGTACTCGTATCGCAATAAAGCAGCAAAAATCAGTATACAGACTTTTTATTGATTAATTGGTTTTGATCCCTTAGAAGACATTTTTTTCGCAGATATGCTGGTTAGCATTTCCTCATCATTGATCGAGACAATTTTTGTTTCTTGTATGGAATATAGAGAGGCCAATAAACGTACATGAAGTAATTCAAAAAATATGTTTGTAAAAATTTACGAATAAAGCAGAGAATCGTCGCGAACATCGTCAATTTTATACCTGCGAAACTGATCCGCCGTCCGAGGGTTAATAACATTATCATTTTGCCGATTATGCATCGAATCTTCGACCCTTTACATTGCGAAATATCAATCATTATTGCATTCGAAACTCTGAAAGTTCTGGAAACGAGGCTCGATCATTTTTGGACAATTTAAATCCATTCTTCGTTCAATCGATTACTCAACGTCAAAGTTCTCGCGTATCTTTCGCGTTGGATTTAATATTACGTGTAACATTAACGACCGAATATGTACAAAAAGAGAGTGATTAACTGTCTAAAAAATGAAAACGGAGACCAGGGCTGGAGCATCCAATCAGCCAAGACGGTCCATGTACCAGGGACTCGAGATCCCGATACAAAACTATTCCAATAAACAGACGAGCGGTCACGAGTTGGCGGAGTCGGCGTAATAACAATTTAAATATGCAGACCTCCTGCTTAATTGTCCTCCCCAGGGAGCGCAAACAGCTGGGACGGAAGCCGCGAGCGCGGACCGAGACGCGGCGAATTCGTAACTTCCCGCAATTTAGATGATAATTACATTTACATGCGCGGCCGTTTCGTAGACTTACGATAAACTTCCCGAGCGACGAGATGTCGGGAAGATATCGAGCCTGGAAATTCTTGCTCCCGTCCAACCCTTGCCTCGCGCTCACCTACCCCTACTTTAGCCGAAGGGTCCAAAATATACCTACTGATCATGATCTTCGGAAAAATTGAGCGCGCATCCTTTCGTCGACGATATAATTAACACGTTCGCTGCCAGCGTAAAATGATACACGTATCATGCTATGACGTTGCTAGCGAACTTGTTATAATATTAGGGTGTCCCATCAGTTCTCACCTTGATCAATATTTTGCAAATAAGCCTCAAAGACAGCATAATGAGGTCTCCTGAACGATGGAAGAAGATAATAGAGCAGAACGGTTCGTATATAGCTCAATAAATCAGTCTTAAACAACAAATATCGTGTAATCATTTCGCATCAGAGAAAAGGAAAGAACTTATGGGACACCTTAATAATTATCTCGATGTCTCCAAGGATTAACCAACGCTGCGTACAATTCAGTAAATGTGTACATTTAGTTTCAGTATCGTGCTTATTGTATTTCGTGTAATTTTACAGCGCATTCACAATTACCTCCGTTTCTGTCTCGAACAAACGATGCCTAATTAAATTACACGAAGTATAATCAGCAGACTGTGGATCTCCGTGCAAAATAATTTGCTGTAGCAATTACAGGAGACAGGGGCTGAATATAAATGTATTCGTATGATCTGCTCTGAATGTGAATGTTATTTATTCGTTTCTTCTAAATCGAGAAAGAAATTTGATGCATCTGTTATCGCAGTCTAGCAATGGTAGTAACTGAAGATGTACGCTAAAAGGACCTATCTCGTTCATAATCAACGCGTTAACCCCTTGACATACCATTTTCTTCGCAGTTACTGCGATCAGAAAATTTTCGATTGCAATAATTTCTTAGAAGGGAAAGAAAATTGATGTTTATTGTACGCCTAAATTGACTTGAATGCTTAAACATTGATGACAAGAGATTAGAATTTTATTCCAATTTTAAAGGACAGAATAACATCTGCACTCGACAAGTTATTACTAGAAATTTTCACGACGACTCGGACCCGTCAAAGTACGGCAAGGGGTTGAAAAAAACGTAGTTAAATATTTTAGTAAATTGAAAATAATAACGATCTCAGGTTCTTCTGATATTTTTTCTGTTTCGCGTTCCACGCATCCATTTTTCGACTGACAATCCCGAAGAAAACAGAAGAATCGTTTAATTCAATTTAATTCAATTCGGAACACCGCATCGCGATTGCCGAATCGCAGAAACTCAAAATATTTTCACCCACGTCACGAACGTAGCGTTGACAAATAAGCCGCTTATTCGAATCCAGGCCGGCTAAAGCCAGATAGGATCGTCTCAGCCCCAGCTCAACCATAAAATCGCGTAAGCATCCGCGAACAATAACGCACACGGCAGAGTGCTACGCCATAATACGCCGATCGGTGGCGGCAGTTACAGATTGTAGCGCGGGCATGCCGCGCTCGTGCAGAAATCTCGGTGTTGCATATCGCATGCAACAGTCGAGATCGGATCTGCGGATCGCGTGACCGGGTCGCGTGGCCGAAATAAAAGGAGAAGTCGTTAAAAGTCGTAAGTGGCGTTGCCGGACGGCCGGTCGAAAGTAAAAAGGCTCCGCCCGCCGGCGGACACGGATGTGCCCAGGACCCTTTTAGAGTTTTAAAGGCTGCCATTCCCCCCTTCAGAAGTTAACTTCGCGAGCGCTAACTCGTGTCGCTTAGGGCGCGGAACGCCGCATTAGGGGTGAACTGTCCCCGCGGACCTCGCATCCGCTCTTAGGGAATAATCAAGTTACCGGGCGACGCTGATGCGTCGCGTGACGGTCCCGGAAGTCGCATTATTTTATTCATGCGAAGTCGTGGCCTGTGTCGCGGGCAGGTAACGCGATCCAGTTTCACCTCCTCGTCGCGGCCCGGCCCGATCCGGCACCCTCGGAAGCTTTTGTCGCAACCCCTCGTGCCTCGATTTTCACGATTTCAGGAAGCAACGCGCTGGGGTTACGAAAATCAATATATCACGCGTGGACCGCGGATTTTATTTCAATTGAATTTCATCTGACAGAAATGAATAGATCAAATGTAAGATTATAGAAACATTTATACGATTTGAGGATATTATCGTATCATTCTCGACTCGTTGGTATGACTAAGAAAGAGAAATAAATGTCTGTATAGTTTCTACATTTTGTAATCAACGGAGACAATTTTTATTTTGCATAAAAATCCGCGGTCTGGTTATGTGTCTTCACGTGGCTCAACAATTTCAACGAGTCTATTGTACGCGTCTCACATGGTAACAAAAAGTTAATAGCAAGTTCAACATGTACCTGTACATCTTATCGTTAGAGTGCGATGTTTTACGCAAAATAAAAGCTGTCTAAGTTGTTCGTAATAAACGTAAGTTGGATGAAAATGTCCTTCTTAGAATTGTAATAACTGAAAAATAACGTGACAATATCTTGAAATATTTTCAATAATCTTGCAGATTTCTATTTGATTCATTCGATTGGAGCACGAATGCATAAAATCCTTAATAATT